GAACAGAGACTGGTACGAGCAGACGCAGAGGGAGTGAATGATGGATCGAGAAATAATGATATTCATGACCCACCATTTACAAGCTTTGAGGTAGAAAGAGCCGTAAATAGTTTCAATCCTAAAAAGGCACCGGGTGGGGACGGTCTGACAGCGGACATTTGTCACAGAGCCATTATGAGCCAACCTGAAACCTATCGAGCCATTATAAATAAAGCCCTGGAGACTGGATCTTTCCCAAAGCAGTGGAAGGAGGCAACGGTGGTGATCCTGAGAAAACCGGGAAGACCGAGATACACAGAACCAAAAGCCTACAGACCCATCGGCCTCCTCCCTGTAATGGGAAAGATCTATGAGAAGATGCTGGTCGAGAGATTGAAGTGGCACCTTGTGCCTAAACTATCCAAGAGGCAGTACGGGTTCATCCCGCAGCGAAGTACTGAGGACGCCCTCTATAATCTAATGGATCGAGTACGTAAAAACCTTAAAAGTAAACTCATCACAATAATCATCTCCTTAGATATAGAGGGCGCTTTCGATAATGCGTGGTGGCCCAGAATCCGAATGCGCCTTGCCGAACAAGGATGCCCTGTCAACCTGAGAAGGGTGTACGATGACTATCTCCGGAGTCGCAAAGTTAAGCTTCGATATGCTGGGGAAGAAGTAGAAAAATCGACTACAAAGGGTTGCGTGCAGGGATCCATAAGCGGCCCCTTGCTCTGGAACGTTATACTGGACCCGATACTGGGGCAAATGTCTGACAATAATATATATTGTCAGGCATTCGCTGACGATGTGTTGGTGATAGTGGAGGGTAACAGTGGAGAGGAAGTCCAGAGCAAGGGCAACAAGGCGCTGGAGTTGGCTGCGGAATGGGGTGAAAATAATAAGCTGAAATTTGGACCTAGCAAAACCCAGGCAATGGTAATCACAAACAAAACCAAGTATGACACACCAAGGTTGAAAATGAGTGGAGTTCAAATTGGACTGGCAAGCAAAATAAAAATTCTTGGCCTGACAATAGACGACAAACTCACATTCAACGATCATGCGTCAACGATCTGTGTTAAAGCAGCCAACCTATATAAACAAGTGGCCAAAGCAGCAAAACAGACCTGGGGACTGCATCCGGATATAGTCTCCACAATTTATACAGCCGTGGTGGAACCCACCATAACTTACGCAGCGGCAGCATGGGCTAGGGCAGCAGAAAAAATATGCGTTCGCAAAAAATTAAATGCAATTCAAAGGGGCTTCGCTCAAAAGATAGTAAAGGCGAATAGAACTGTGTCTCTGAACGCAGCTCTGGCTCTTTCGGGCACTCTCCCACTCGACCTGCGTGTAACTGAAGTAGCCACCCTATACATGGCGAAAAAGGGACACTGGGAGGGCCTCTCGGACGATATCGAGGTCGAGAATAAAACAGAGTATTTCAAGATGGACCATCCCGCCGAGGAGCCACTGCTAAATTTCAAACTTATCCTAAACGAGGAGGACTTGGCGACGAGCTCGGGGGGACAAGTGCAAATATTTACGGACGGAAGCAAAAGTGATAAAGATGTCGGTGCCGCTTTTTCCTGGTGGAAAAATGGGGCCGAAATAAAGTCCAGGAAATTTAAGCTTTCTTCCTACTGCACAGTGTTCCAAGCGGAGGCCTTCGCCTTGGTGGCAGCCACAAAGGACATGAATGCCGCAAACGACAAAACCTGTGACATATATTCAGACTCCAGATCGGCACTACAGGCGGTTGTCAATGGCAACTCATGGCACCCTCTTATAACGAAAATAAGAAGAAACCTCAAGATAGCAAAGAAAAATAATAAGGAAATAAAACTACATTGGATAAAGGCTCACTGTGGTCTTGCGGGCAATGAGAGAGCTGACGAATTGGCCAGAAGCGCAGCAAACAATCTAAAGACAAAACCGGCGTACACAAAATGCCCGATATCCTACATAAAAAGGGCCATTCGTAAAGAAACAATAAAGAAGTGGGAGCAGAGGTATGCGGAGAGTGAGCGGGGTCTGGTGACTAAGGTGTTCCTACCCGACATAAAATCGGCATACAATTTTGTTAGACAAAACAGACCACAGAGAAATTTAGTGCACATCATGACGGGTCACGGCCCTTTTGCCAGTTACTTACACAGATTCAATTTAAAGCGAGACCCGTCATGCCCATGTGACAACACCACGCCGCAAACGTCCCTGCACTGTCTGCTTAGCTGCCCAATGTTTGGAGTCGCGAGGCACGAGGTGGAGGAGAAAACTGGAATTTCTTTAAATGAAAACGAGCTCCCACACCTGGTGTCCCGCGACGACACTCGGACATGCTTGGAGGAGTTTTGCGACAAAATAATAGAAAGTGTCCGCAGACTGAACAGGGACTGTGGCATGCCAACACACTAGCGTATTGCCACATTGAATTTGTAAACTAAGATATTATGAATGATAATATGTAAATAAACAATGCAATGATGTAAATAATTAATGAACAATATGTAATAAATAATAACACTCATTGAACAAAAACATGTAACCTACAGATTTTGAAATAAACATTTAAAGATCTCGTGTTTCAATCTAGCTCGAAATTCCACGGCCCGGGGATAAACTTCGCCCGGGGAGTAGGCTGATTAGGTAAAAAAAAAAAAAAAAAAAAAAAAAACCTAACCTAACCTAACCTAACCTAACCTAACCAGTCGCAGTCGAGCCGCGGACCTAAACGGTCACGAAACAGCTAGCTCCGCCTTCAAAAAATCCGATAAATGGTATTTTTATCGCAAACTAAAGAGTGCTATATATCATCCTGTGCGTCTTGCGACGGCGATATCGGATATATATACATTATAAGTGAAAAGTTCAAAAACAGTGGAGAAAAGTGCAAAAAACCCCTAAAATACAAAATTTTCTGTGAAAAAGTGAGTGCGGTGCGCGATCTAGATCTGTAACCCTACCTGTTCTTCGCATCATTGGATGCGTCTCAACGAGCTGCATCTTTTGACGCATCATTTGGATTTTTCCGCTAAAAGGTACGACAGAAAATTTAATAAAATAAAAAAGGGGCGTGACCACAAGTCGGCGAAATAGGGCCGCCCCCCAAAAGACCAATATATCAAACGACGCGTCTTAAAGAGACAAGAAGATTGACGTATCGTTGTAAAAAATCGGCTCAGAGGAAAAAATTTTAAAAAGCAAAATCAAACATAACCTTAGAAAAAATTACTTTTAATTAAATAACTAAAAAACTAAAGCGGCGACCCCAAAATTAAAAATCACATTCAGATAGAGCACAAAAAGACGCGTCTTTTGAGGGATCGCACGGATTTTTCCGGCCACGAACCAAAGAGCAACAAAGAAGAAACCGCAAAACCACGTGGCACGTGGTCGGTGTTCCCGTGGGATAAAGAAGACGTGCGACACATCATTCGATAGCTCTCGTCGAGTTCTACAAGAAACCATTTCAAAAACTGAAATCGACCTAGCAGCTGAAGAGAAAAGTCGACGGGAATAGTTTCATCAAAAAACCGGGAATAACTCGGGAACGGTAGGAGATAGGGCTTTTTTAACGTCACCCCAGTATATATCCATATCCTGGTAATGATTGCGGGGCTTAGTTTTATAATATAACATTTTAAAAATTTCGAAAACTCAAAATTTGCAAATATCCCGAAAATTCGAAAAATTTTTCAAAATCGGAAATCTTTAAACGCCCGTATCTCAAAAACGGTGCTGTTTTCGGGATTTTTCACGGCAGACTTGTATACATTTATGTATACAAGCCTTGTTCCAACTGATTAGATAAATATTTAGGCAAAAAATTTCCCCCCAAGAATTCACCCCGCAACCTCCCCCCTCTCGCCGTTCTCGAGTATTTCATAAGAATAACTAAATTTTGTAAGTTTAATTAGGACAATACAACCCTGCGAAGCGATTTACGCCTTAAAAACCTAATAGTTTAATAGATATTCCACTTTTATTAAAGCCTTTCCTTAGAACCCCCATCCCCACCTCTTTTTCAAAATTATTTTTCCCCTAGTTAAAATAGGTAAAGAAAATATTACAGTTGAGAGAAAACCGCGACGAAATCGGAGCAAGGACACCGGAGTTAGAGGCGTTTGTCATATTGACGGCCATTTTTGTCCGCCATCTTGAAAATTTAAAAATTTGATATCTCTGGAACGAGTTGTCCGATTTCGGCGAGACTCTCAACTTTTAAAAGGCCAGACTTCGCTCCGCAGGATAGATTTTAAAAATTGTAAAAAAGTAGAGTCGACTCTACAAACCCAGTTTTCTCACTTGACAAGTCGGGCGTAGGGCGCTTATCACGACTGTGAAAACCGCACCTTCCTCCGGCAAAATCTTACGGAGATACGACAATTTTACAGATTGGCGGCCATTTTGTCCGCCATCTTGAATAATTTAAAAACGCTATATCTCGGTAACTACTGAACCGATTTTAGTACAAGACATATCAAACAAAAGGGCTAAAGAAGCCCAATCGGACTGGGTGGTAGAGACGACTCTACATAGAGTCGGGAAAAAATTTTCTGTGACAACCGGCTCAAAATTAGAATAAGTTGACGGCTGCCACCCTATTGGGGACAGACCTTAGGTTAAGTTTAGAAATTTGACATTTTGACGGCTGCCACCCTATTGGGGACAGACCTTAGGATAAGTTTTAAACAATTTTTGACAAATTGACGGCTGCCACCCTTTTTGGGACAGACCCTAATATTAAGTTAATATATTAATATAATTGTACATAATAATTTATTACTGTGAACTGACACGGCTACTGCCCTATTGGGAGTAGACCTTAGGATAAGTAATAATATTAAGAAATAAATAATTGTACATAGAAATTATTTGCTATATTGACACGGCTACTGCCCTATTGGGAGTAGACCCTAGATTAAGTTATTCATTTTAAAAAATTTGAAAATAGCGTAGTACTTTTATTGAACCACTTTGATTTTAATAACTGACAAAACCTAATAGGCAAAATGTTGGGACTACGAACTCCACCCAAAAGCCAAACATCGGCGCCTGGCATAAGGCGAAGTATAGATAAATGGGAAGAGGCCTCCAGCCAGGGCCCGAGGGTGGCAAAAGAGGCTCCCCTGGCGGGGGCGGGTGGAGGAGGAAAGTCTCCTGCTCCCGCTCAAACCAGGGAAAAAGAAGCCAAAAATTGCTACCTTAAGGCAATGGCACATCTGGCGGAGTCCAGAAATATTAAAACGGACATAAAAACCGGGGTACAGACAGCCGTAAAACGGCTGTACCAACTAGTAAAGGAGGCCGAAGAGGAGTCACCGAAAAACCAAGACAAGCCAACACCAAAAGGGAAAAAAGAAATACTAAGCGATAAACTAGACAAACAGATTGAAAAACTGGAAACGGAAAACAGAAAACTGGAGAAATGTAGGAAAGAAATGGAGGATCTGGCAATAAAGAAAAATGAAAGCATCCTGGCCGAGATTAGGAAAGAGTTTGACGAGAAGGAAAAGAGAGAAAAAGAAAGATATAACATTCTGGAAGCGAAAATGAAGTCGTACGCAGAAGTGACAAGGGAAAATCTCGGCCAGGACCAAAATAGGAAAGGTGGCCCGGGACATAAACCTACGCTGCACTCTGTCGTGGTGGAGCCGAAGAGTTCGACCGACACGGCAGAGGATACAATACAAAACATCCGTCACCTACTAAATGCGAAGGAGGAAGGATGGCAAGTTCAAAAAATAAGGAGAGCCAGAGACGGAAAAGTTGTAGTGGGCTGCAGGACGGAGGAAGAGAGGAGTAAACTTAAGGAAAAATTAGGAAGAGAAATGGAAGTAAAAGATGCGTCAAATAAAAACCCTCTTATAAAAATTAAAAATCTATTGTCCTGCAACACCACGGAAGATATCACCCGGGCCATCAGGAACCAAAATAAAAACGCGACTGCACACCTGGAGGAACAGGACCTGACCATAGTGGAAAAGTATAGAAGGAAAGCAAGAAACCCTCTGGAGAGCCACGTGGTCCTGCAGGTCGCGCCAAAACTTTGGCAATCATTAACATCGGCTGGTAGGATACACGTGGACCTGCAGCGGGTTTGGGTAGAGGACCAATCCCCTCTGGTCCAGTGCACTATGTGTCTGGGGTACGGACATACCCGCAGACATTGTAAAAAGGAGACCGAGGTGTGCAGTCATTGCGGAGGAGCCCATTTGAGGGCAGATTGCCAGATCCAAAAGGAAGGTAAACCTCCCAGCTGCGTTAACTGTATAGGAATAAAAGGAAGAGACGCGGAGCACGGAGCCTTCAGTCAGAGCTGTCCAACCCGGCAGGGGTGGGACAAGGCGGCGAGGCTAAGCTACGCGTATTGTTAAAAAAGCCGAGGGCACCAACAATATTACCGGCTTTCTCCTGGCACAAGCGAACCTTAGAAAAAAGAGAATCGCGATCCAGGAGTTTATAAAAGAAGCGGGCGGTAGGAACGTGAAAATAGCACTACTCCAGGAACCGTACATAGGGGCCAGTAAACAGATGGCAGAAAGCCCTATGTACAGAGTAGTGCAGTGCGTACCCACTGGAGAGAAACCGGTGAAGGCGGCGATACTTGTTTTCGACGAACACATTGAAGTCTTTCAAGACAAGTCACTTATCACGGAAAACATAGTGGCTGCCGTCCTGAGAACGGACCAGTGGGAAATAGGGGTAATATCAGTGTACTTCGAAGGCGATGAACCCATCGAACCATACCTCGAACAACTAGGAAGCGTCACGAAAAAACTTAAAACCAAGATGGTACTGATTGGAGGGGACGTGAACGCATGGAGTGAATGGTGGGGGAGCCGAAACGAAGACACACGAGGAAAGGAATTACGAGGGTTCCTTGACGAAGAAGGGCTGAGCATCCTAAATTGTGGCAACACACCCACCTTCGACACCGTAAGAGGGGGCCGTAGATACACGAGTGCAGTAGATATCACAGTATGCACAACGGCCCTCCTCAGTAAGGTAACGAGATGGTGGGTTGATACTTCCATCACTAGCTCTGACCACAACACAATTTTTATGACTACAGCCCTTCAAAAACCCCAAACGCACAACCTACCGAAGACGACCCGCAAATACAGTACCAAAAATGCAGACTGGGAGGAATTTAAGAACAAGGTAAGGACAGGACACATAAACCACGACATCACCCAAGAAAAGATACAAGGACAGCCCTGCGATTCTGTAACTCACTTTTCAAACTCACACAGCGGTTTTCGCATCGGCGGTCGCTCTCAAATCAGTCGTGAAGCAGTCATTTTATAATTTGGCATTCTGATAAACAATAAACTATAAGCTCCCACCTTTTCACAATGCCAAATCATAAAATGACTGCTTCACGACTGATTTGAGAGCGACCGCCGATGCGAAAACCGCTGTGTGAGTTCGAATAGTGAGTTACAGAATCGCAGGGCAGGACACAAAGGCCGGGGTCAATAACATAGTAAGGGAATATATGAAATCAATAACAAATGCCGCCGAGAAAAATATCCCCAAATTGAAACAGAGGAAGAAAAGCTTCGATCCACCCTGGTGGAACAAAGAAATAGAGGCCCTAAAGAAAGACATGGTTAGGAAAAAGAAAAGGATCTCATACGCAGCTCCCAGGAGGAGAGAGTGCGTAATAACTGCCTACCTGGAGGCAAAAAAGATATACGAAGAAGAGATCGAAAGGGCTCAAAAGGAAGGGTGGAAAAAACTCTGCACGAAGCAAGAAGGGGAAAGCTTATGGGACAGGATATATAAAATAATAAGAAAGGCGGAAGGGATCAGGGAAGACACCACGCTAATAGAGAAGGGCATTTCGTTGAACTCCGAAGAATCGGTGCAGCTGCTGGCACAGAAATTCTTCCCGCCTGATAATTGCGAGATGGATGATGACATCCATCAAAAAATGAGAAAAACGGTTGAGGAAATGACCAGCAGCTTGCAGGGAAGTAGCGCTGATGAAGTGCCAATCACAATGGCGGAGCTCATCAGCACTGCTAGAAGCTTCAACCCGAGGAAGGCCCCGGGGGGCCGATGGACTCACTGCGGATATCTGCTGCGCAGCTATCACGGCGAACCCGGAGGTTCCCCTGGCCATCTTCAATAAATGCCTCGAAGTGGGATGCTTCCCTGATCTATGGAAGGAATGCACAATAGTGGTACTGAGGAAGCCAGGAAAGGAGGATTACGCGGCCGCCAAATCCTACCGTCCAATAGGCCTCTTGCCAGTCATGGGGAAGATACTAGAAAAGGTTATCATCAACAGGATCAGACACAGCCTACTCCCCAGGATGAGCAGGAGGCAGTATGGATTCATGCCAGGAAAGAGCACGGAGGATGCCCTCTACGATATCCTGACAAAAGCGAGGAGCCACATTAAAAACAAGGAAATAGTGCTGATGGTGTCGCTAGATATCGAGGGGGCTTTCGACAACGCATGGTGGCCGGCGATCAAGTACCAACTAGCAAAGAAAGACTGTCCCAAGCAACTAAGGCTGGTAGTGGAAGACTACTTCAAAGGCAGGAGGGTGGTGGTCCGCTACGCAAACAGAGAGCATGTGAGGCAACCTGAAAAGGGATGCATTCAGGGCTCGATTAGCGGCCCCACCTTCTTCTTCGGCGGAACATCTTGCTCGACCCACTACTGGTCGAACTAGAAGAAGATGGGACATACGCACAGGCTTTCGCAGACGATGTTGTGCTGATGTTCAGCGGAACGGACACGCACTCCATCGAAAACCGAGCAAACGTTGCCCTCGAGTACGTGAGGAAGTGGGGTATCGAGAACAAGCTCAACTTCGCGCCACAAAAAACCAAAGCAATGGTCCTGACGCGAAGGTTGAAGTTCGATACCCCAAGAATAAGAATGAATGGACAAGACATAATAATGGAAAAGGAGATTAAATTACTGGGATTGACGATAGACGATGGGCTAACGTTTAATAAGCATGTGCAAAATGTCACAAGAAAGGCGGCAGATATACAAAAGAAAATAGCAAGAATGGCGAAGCTGGAATGGGGAATGACGGGGGACATGGTACACCAGGTATACCAAGCCGTCATAGAGCCGATAGTGACTTACGCGTCGGCAGCCTGGGCACCGACAGTTAAGAAATTGTGCACAAGGAAAAAACTGGAGACGGTGCAGAGGGCTTTCGCACAAAAAATAGCGAAGACGTACAGGACGGCATCGCTAAATTCCGCGACGCTATTGGCGGGGATACTGCCCCTCGACCTCAGGGTGGAAGAAGCCGCCGCGATGTTTGAGGCCAGAAGGGGGTCGTCTCCGTTCATACGCGAAGGAGACCGGATTGAGCGAGCCGTACCTGCGTTAGAACAACCCCATCCCGCGGAAAAACCGGATATTAGCTTCGCCATCACCAATGACCCTGGCCTAATTCAAAATGACAACAAAACGGCAATTTACACGGACGGAAGTAAGACGGAAGGAGGAGTAGGAGCCGCCTGGTCCAAATGGGAGAATGGAAGGGAAAAGAAGTGGAAAAAGATAAAGATGGCCCCTTACTGCACCGTGTATCAAGCAGAGCTGGCAGCTCTCGTTGGTGCAGTGAGGGAGGCGATGATAGCGGGTACTGACGTGAACATCTGCAGCGACTCGCGGTCTTCGCTCGAGGCGATTGCGGGCGGACGCTCTCGAAATCCCCGAGTAATCGAGATCCGCAGACACCTGGTGGAGAGCCTTAAAAAGGGCCAGAACATTAAACTCCACTGGGTGAAAGCGCACGTCGGCACGGAGGGGAATGAGAGGGCGGACGAACTTGCGAGAGCCGCTGCGGAGACCTCGAAAGTCAAAGCGGCTCACGTAGAGTACCCGCTGTCATACATAAGGAAAGAGATTAGAAGGAAGACAATTGAGGAATGGGACCGGCGGTTTAAAGAAGGAACGATAGGAGGAACCACAAAATTGTTCCTGACAGATGTCACAGCGGCACACAAACTAGTGAGGAAAAAAGATTTAGTCCGGAAATGACACAGGTCCTTACAGGTCATGGGCCTTTTGCCGAATACCTGTACCGGTTTAAAATTAAAGACAAATCTGACTGCGAGTGTGAGAATGGGGTGGAACAATCCATCCCACACCTACTTTTGGAGTGCCCCATTTTTGCCTCCTCCAGATGCGACCTGGAACAGATGACAGGCATGTCGCTTAGTCTTCAGGGACTGCCCGACATGCTAGTCTGTAACAGATCGCACCTGGAGGATTTTTGCCAAAAAATTACCAAAAGAACAGCTAAGTTCAATGAGAGTAAGGCCGGGGCGGGGACCGCGAGGCGGCCGGCGCCCACTTGCTAAGGGGTATTATGAGAATACTCACGGAGAAGTAAAAGCCGCCCGCCTCGCGGGCCACGTCTCAGGATAGGAATATTTAGAAGAAAATAAATAAATAGGATAAGGAAAGAGAAATAGGAATAAAAATAAAAAACTGTAACTGTGATATTGTAATGTGTAAAACCTAATAAAAATTAAAGTTGTTGTCTATTATTATGAGGAAGGATGTAAGAAATGACGGAAGTTTAGCTTAGTCAACGCCCCTGGCGATAAAGTAGCCGGGGAAGGTTGGCCTATTAGGTGCTTAAAAAAAAAAAAAAAAAAAAAAACCTAACCTAACCTAACCTAACCTAACCTAACCTAACCTAATATATACGGCTGTAGTCGAGCCCATTGTCCTCTACGCGGCTAATGCATGGGCAGACGCGGCGAATAAGGCATACATTATTAAAAAACTAGATACGGTACAGAGAAGCTTTGCCATCAAAATATGTAGGGCATACAGAACAACTCCACTCAGCTCCCTCAGAGTGCTGTCAGGTTTGCTCCCCCTAGACCTAAGAGCACACGAAAACAAAACCTTATATGAAATTAAAAAGGGGTACACGGCCTGCGAGCACCTGAAAGGAGCCGAGGTGGAAATAAAAACACCTTTCTGCAAAACTTCCCATCCGGCAACGGCAGCATTGGAATATGTTATCCTGTTCAATGAAGAACTTACAATAAACGGTAGTAGTCTACAAATATATACGGATGGTAGCAAGACGGAAGAAGGGGTGGGTGCTGCGATCTCCCTTTGGAAAGGAGACATTGAAATAAAGAGCCAAAAGCTGCATTTGGCACATTTTTGCACTGTGTACCAAGCAGAGCTGATGGCGTTAAAAAGAGCGGCGCAACTAGCGGTGCAGCGGAAGGAAACTGAGGTCCTCATTTACAGTGACTCAAGGTCTGCGTTGGATGCGGTTGTGGGGGGACGCTCTTTCGATCCCCTTGTCACCGAGATTCGCGAACTTCTTATCCAACACTCAGAAAAGAACATCAAACTTTTCTGGGTTAAAGCACACGCGGGGAGGAGGGGGAACGAAAGAGCGGACCAGTTGGCCAAAGAAGCCACAGGCGCAAAGCAGAAACCGGTCTACGACCGCTGCCCGATATCATACGTTAAAAAGTTAATACGCGAAAACACGGTGCAAAAATGGGTCACGAAACAGTCCAATGAAACAACCGGGGTGACAACTAGGATGTTCTTGCCCGACCCGGAGACTGCGTACAGAATTGTAAGATCCAAAGGATTTAATCCTATAATGACTCAAATATTAACAGGGCATGGAGCCTTCGCGGAATACCTCCACCGTTTTAAAATAAAACCAAGTCCCGCATGTGAATGCGACGAAAACGTGTTACAAACGGTGGAGCATCTCCTAACAGAGTGCCCCATATTCACCATACAAAGACACAATCTGGAGCAGACCGCGGGAATGCGGATAGCGCGTAATGTGCTGCCCGACATCCTTGCGGGGCACAGATTGGCCTTGGAAAATTTTTGTGAGCGGATTCTGGATCGGACGAGACGATTTAATGGCGCTCAAACTATTGACAAACAAAATAATAGTAAGGATACAACAAAAATCTAAAAACACTGTACCCAAAATATGTAATTAATACAAAATAACCAAAATATAAAACTGTAATTAAACAGAAGTATTATCAAAAGTAAACTCTGAAATAAACGAAAAATTATAATGTGCACAAACTATTAGCATATACATAAATTAAAAATAAAAACATGAATATGTGTTAGAAAAAGTAAGATTTAAAATAAAGTAAACCAATAAACGCAAAGCTCTAAGTAAGTAATGTATAAAATCACTAATGAATAGTTTCATGTGAAGTAAATCAAAAACGCAATATAAGAGAATTAAAAACTAATAAATAAAATAAAGTAAACTAACAAGTATAAATGTTAAGAAAAATAATGTTCAAAACTAACATGTAAGAGACAAAATGTAAAATAAAAAACATGTTAAAATAACTATTATGTAAACCATAGAATGAATGTAAATCTAGGAATAAGCGAACTAGAAACTTAAGAATTAAAATAAAGTAGACTAAGAAGTAAATGTTGAGTAAAATTATGTAATACGCAAGAAACAAAATTTAAAATGAATAACATGTTAGAATAATTAATATGTAACCCATAGAACGAATATAAATCTATGAAAAAGCAATTAGAAACTCAAGAATTAAAATAATGTAAACCATTTATTATATGTTAAATAAAATAATGTATAAAACTAATATGTAAGAAACAAAATGAATAATGGAAAACATGTTAAAATAACTAATATGTAAACCTTAAAATGAATGTAAATCTATCAACAAGTGAATTGGAAATTTAAGAATTAAAATAGAAAAAGCTAAGAAGTATAAATGTTGAGTAAGAACAATGTACAAGACTAATATGCAATAAACAATATGTAAAATGAAAAACATGTTAGACTAATTAATATGTAACCATAGAACGATTGTAAATCTGTGAATAAGTGAATAAGAAATTTAAGAATTAAAATAAAGTAAACTAAGTAAAATAAATGTTAAGTAAACATAATGTACAAGACAACCATGTAAGAAACAAAATGTAAAATGAATAATATGTAAGAATAACAAATGTAAATGAATGTAATTTTTTGATGAATAAAGCTAAAAAGGTCCTTGATAGGCAAATGTCGAGGGGTGGGTTCGCAGCTCCACGGCCCCGGAGCAGTCGCTGCCGGGGAGGTAGGCCAAGTAGGCAGGGGCAACAAAAAAAAAAAAAAAAAAAAAACCTAACCTACCTAACCTAACCTAACCTAACCTAACCTAACCTAACCTAACCTAACCTAACCTAACCTAACCTAACCTAACCTAACCTAACCGCGGACGAGCTAGCCAAAGAAGCAACAAAAAAACCACAAAAACAAGCCGTCCTACGATCGCTGCCCGCTGTCGTACCTAAAGCGCCTCATAAGAGCGGAAACGCTGCAAAAGTGGGCCACAAGGTACAAAAACGAACAAACAGGGAAAATAACAAAAATGTTCTTCCCGGATGCCATCGCTGCATACAAAATAATCAGAAATATAACATTTAACAGTACACTGTCTCAGATACTCACAGGACATGGGGGATTTTCTGCCTACTTATATAGGTTTAAATTAAAAGAAAGCCCGACGTGCATATGTGGATACGCAGAGGAAGACGTTCCACACATCCTATTCGACTGTCCCGTCCACCTCTACGTAAGAATAAAACTTGAAAACCAGATAGATGTAGACAAAATAGGCAAATGTAATATAGCATCGGAATTAGCGTAAAAAGATAATAGAATAACGATACTTCAATATTGTATAGAAATAGGAACCTTAGTAAATAATAGAAATAAGTAAAAAAATTGCAAAATATGTATTGTAAAATGTAATCAAAATTTAAATGTAATTTGAATTGAATAACCAAATAAAGGAACAACTAACAAAGTATCAGCTATTCCACGGCCCGGACGTCCGGGGTAGGCTATTAGGAAAAAAAAAAAAAAAAACCTAACCTAACCAGTCGCGCGCCCCCCGCCGAAGCGTAAACAGTTAAAACGTATCGCTCCGCGTCTTAAAATTCGCAAAAATAGGATTTTTCAAGTGTTTAGTAAAGTGTTATACACCATTTTAATCAGCTTAAAAACGTGATTCTAGTGATACCAATCTCGTCGCGATAAGTGAAAAATTGGAAAAAATTCCATACAAAATACCAACATAACCTTGTTTTAGGTTAGTTTTTCAGTTTTTTGAGTGCGACGCTAAATCTAGATCGGTGACACAGTGCAAAAAAAAAATTTTCGGAGCAGGATCCAGGAAGTTAAAAAAGAAAAACCTTCAAACCACGTGGCACGTGGTCGCTGTTCCCGTGGGACGCCAACGACTTGCGGCATATCATCGTGAAGCTCCCGTTAAGACCAGCAAGGCGCCGTTTTCAAAATCGGAATCGACCCAGCGGTTGCCGAGTAAAGCCGACGGGAAGAATTAAGTTAAAAAACAGGGAATAACTCAGGAACGGTAGGAGATAGGGCATTTTTAACACCACCCCAGTAATATCCTGGTAATGATTGCGGGGCTTAGTTTTATAATATTACATTTTTAAAATAGTGAAAATCCGAAATTTGTAAAAATCCCGAAAATTTGGAAAAATTTGTCAAAATCGGAAATCTTTGAACGCCCGTATCTCAAAAACGGTGCAGATTTCGGGATTTTTAACGGCAGTCTTGTATACATTTATGTATACAAGCCTTGTGCTACTAAATTCATATAATATAAAACCATAAGAATTTCCCCCCTTAGGGAACTTCCCCCGCAACTCCCCCCCCTCCCGCCGTTCACGGGTTTTTCACCCAAAAAACAGTACTTAGTGTAAGAAATTAAAATAAGACACCCCTGCGGAGTGTTTGTACCCGCAAAAACCTATTGGCCTTCGAGAAACCCAAATATTACTACAAAATTTCTAAAGAACATCCATCCCCACCTCTTTTGCAAAAGTTTTAGTCCTTTCAGTAAATAGAATAAATAAAGGGATACAACTGTGAAGAAACCGCGTCGAGATCGGAGCACAGACACCGGAACTACAGCCGATCTTCACTTTGGCGGCCATTTTGTCCGCCATCTTGTAAAACTTTAGACGGCTGTATCTTTGGAACGGGCTGCCCGATTTCGACGGGATTTCCAACCTTAAGAAGGCCAGGTGACTCTGCGTAGGACTGCAGTAAAAACCGCAATAAAGTAGAGTCGACTCTACATACCCAGTTTTTGAATTGTAAAAGACGAGCACGGGGAGCTTTTCACGAGAGTGAAAACCGCTTTCTCCTCCGGGCAAAACTAACAAAGTTACGGCAATTTTACAGATTGGCGGCCATTTTGACCGCCATCTTGGATATTTTAAAAACTACATAACTCGGAAAATACTTAACCGATTTTAACAAGCGACGTATCAAATAAAAGGGCACAAAGAGCCCAATCGATCTGGGATATAGAGACGGCTCTACATAGAGTCGAAAAAATAATTTTGTAAAAACCGACTCAGAACTAGCATAAGTTGACGGCTGCCACCCTATTGGGGACAGACCCTAGGTTAAGTCAAGAAATTTGACAACGTGACGGCTGCCACCCTATTGGGACAGACCTTAATTTTAAGCTAAATAATAATAATTGTAAAAACTCCAAAAGTGCATTGCATTATTGACTTATATTTATTGAATAATTTAAACCATTGACATAACTTCCCCCTATTGGGAATTGTTATTATTTACTGTCAGTTGTAAAAAGTGACGACTATCACCCTATTGGGGATAGACCCACTGACTAAATTATTATAAACTATTACATAAGGACAACCACCCTATTGGTGGCCTTATTAGTTTAAGTTCTAGTTTAAGATTACACCAGACAAACGCACTATTGGCGGTCGTTTAGATACTGTAATAGAATTGTTACTGTAAAATAAAACGGACGTGAAGCCTTATTGGGCCACAAAATAAAACAAGACAACTATTATTACAAATTGTTTAAATATTACTGTATATAAGACAGCCGCCCTATAGGCGACTTTATTAGTTTATAAGTAAAAAATATCTAATATATTACTATTTATCTAATTTATTACTATTTATTATAAATAATCTACATCTATCTGGAAACTTAAATAATAGCCTACCTAAATATATCACTTACCTGAAACTCACCTCAAATCCAAAATCCCCCAAATAAAAATGTTCGCATTAAGAACACCCACAAAACCTCGCACCTCCACGACACCAGACATAAATCTGGAGAAGACTTCTACTGTAGCGAGCGGAACACAAGTACCAAGAGAAAGCAAAGTTAGGAAGAGTATAGACCAGTGGGAGGGGACAACTGCAGAAGAGGAAGAAAGAGGGAAAGGTAAAGAATGTAAAGAGTATAAGAGAAGCATTGGACCACGGAAGCATTGGCGCAAAGACAGAGCGTAAGCAAACATTTAAGTATGTCAAGAAATATAAAGGGAGAAATAAAAACAGCAATCACGGAGGCAGTCAAAAAATTATATGAACTTGTAAAGGAAACTGAAGCTGAACTCAAAAGAGAGGAATTACCAATAAACAAAACCTATAACATAGACGGTAACGGAAACACGAGAAGCACGCCGCAAATCGATACAGAAAAATTAGAAGAACAAATAAAACGGCTGGAAAAAGAAAACGACAGGATGGAGGAAACCAGCAAACAACTAAAAGAGGATATAAAAGCTCTTAATACACAACAAGGAAACAGTATAGTTGAAGAAATGAAAATGGAACTAAGAGAATACAGACGCGAGGAAGAGGAAAGAGAAAAAAGGATAGAAGGAAAGATTTTGACGTACGCAGAAGCGGCAGCAATTAAGCAAAGAAACACTGAAACGAAGAAAGATGAAACGAACAAAACCCTGAACAAACGAGGGCAAATGCACTCGATTATAATAAAGTCCGCAGGCACAGAAACGAGCGAAAAATTACTAGAACGCATCCGGAACACGGTAGACGCCAAAAACACCGGACTCAATGTAGACAAAATCAGAAAAGTAAAAGATCAAAAAATAGTTATAGGATGTACCACCACGGAGCGACTTGATAAAATCACAGACCGCTTAAAGACCGACTCATCCTACATAGTGGAAACTGCAATCACCAAGGACCCGCTGGTCGTCCTCAGAGACGTGATAAAAGCCCACACAGATGAGGATGTGGTGTTTGCCCTTAAAAATCAAAATAGGAACCTCTTCAAAGACCTGCAGAGGCGGGCAAGAAATCCGCACACTGAGAATATAATTCTCCAGGTCTCTCCGCGTGTGTGGAAAATGCTCACAGAAGCAAAAAGGGCGCACATAGATCTACAACGAGTATCGGTGCAGGATCAAACACCACTAATACAGTGCTCGAGGTGTCTGGGTTACGGCCACGGGCGAAAATATTGCAAAGAAGCCGACCCAACCTGCTCGCACTGTGGAGGATCCCACCTGAAAGTCGACTGCCCAGACCACACAGTGGGAGTACCACCAGTATGCGTAAACTGCCGGAAGGCAAATACTGGCCCGAATGCACACAACGCCTTCGATATCGAGTGCCCAGTTCGGAAAAGGTGGGACATGTTAGCCCGCAGCCCAGTGGCCTATTGTTAACGCCAGAGTTGTGCAAAAATCAATTAAAGTAATTCAAGCCAACCTACAAAGAGCCAAAATAGCCACTGATGAATTGATCATGGAAGCGCAAAAGCGGCGAATCGCGGTGGCCCTAATCCAGGAGCCGTACGTCGGGTCAGAAGGCAAGATGAGGGAGTACAAGGGTACCAGTGTGTATCAAAATATAGACACGGTAGGAGGCACCAACAAAGTGGCTATTGCAGTACTAGATGATACAATCGAAGTACTGCAATACCCTGAACTTACAACTAGAAACGTGGTACCTATCGGTCTTAAAACAGCCAAAGGCGTGATACACCTGGTATCCTTCTACATTGAACCGAAGCCAAAACCAATAAGACCGTTTCTTCTGGAATTAGAGAAGGCAATAAAAACACTCCATGAGAAAACAATAATAGGAGGAGATGTCAACGCCAGCAGCCCATGGTGGGGCAGCAGCGTCGCAAACGACAGAGGCGAGGAGGTGGAGGCGACTCTGGACAGCATGAGCATGGAAATCGTGAACCAGGGCGGGGAATACACTTTTGACACTATCAGAGGAAACACAAGGTACACTAGTTGTGTTGACATCACTGCCGTCACTCATGACCTTCTCGGACTTATTGAAAAGTGGAGAGTGGACCATGATGTGACAGGCTCCGATCACAACGCCCTTACATTTACTATTAAATTAGAGCTTTCACCACAAGAACGCGTTGACAGCACAACTAGGGTATATAACGTGAGGAAGGCGAACTGGACCCATTTTCGTGAGAAAATCAGCCAGTTGCTCTCCGAACGTAATCTCTCAACAGAACACATAAACAGTATACACTCAACACAAGAATTAGAAAACACACTCACACACTACACTAACATCATCACAGAAGCATGCGACACACATATACCAAAAATTAAAAAACGCAAAATACTCACCTCCCCCCCCTGGTGGTCCGAAACGCTCTACCAAATGAAGAAAGACGTAGCCACAAAGAAGCGAAGAATAAGATGCGCAGCTCCAGCCCGGCGAACCGTTGTCATCGAAGAATACCTGAAAGCAAAACACAATTACAAAGAAGAAATAGAAAAAGCAGTAATAAATAGTTGGAAGTCCTTTTGCCGGAGAGCGAGAGACCGGGAGAGCCTTTGGGATGGCATATATAGAGTCATAAAACGAACCAACGAAAGGAAGAAAGATCAAAATATGCTGAAAAAAGATGGAAGGGTTCTGACGCCTGAAGAGTCAGCACAATATCTGGCGGAGACCCTCTTCCCAGAGGACACGAAAAAGGGAGAAAGCAGGGAACACTCAGACATAAGGAGCAGAGCCGAAAAGATAAACAATATGGAACATAATGCCAACTATGATCCACTGTTTACTCACACGGAACTAACCGAAATTGTTGCCAGCTTCAACCCAAAAAAGGCACCCGGGGAAGATGGGTTCACTGCGGATATATGCGGACATGCGATATCAGCAAATCCATCCATCTATCTAACGTTGGCAAACAAATGCCTAACACTCGGATACTTTCCTGCCCGATGGAAAAAAGCCACAGTTATTATACTAAGGAAACCGGACAGGGAAGCATATGACCAGCCCAAGGCATATCGCCCCATAGGGCTGCTTCCTGTACTAGGCAAGATCATGGAAAAGATGATAGTCAAAAGGCTGAACTGGCATTTGATACCAAGAATGTCGGAGAGGCAATATGGCTTCGTCCCACAAAAGGGCACGGAGGACGCGCTGTATACGCAGACAAAACATATTAGGGAAGGTCTGAAGGCAAAAAAGGTGGTGACGGTAGTGTCTCTCGATATCGAGGGGGCTTTCGACAACGCTTGGTGGCCGGCAATTAAAACTAGACTAGCCGAAGAAGACTGCCCCCTTGGTGTCGGGAGGATTGTCGACAGCTACCTTAGGGACAGGAAGATCAGAGTTATATATGGAGGTACAGCCTGGGAAAAAACCACAAGTAAAGGGTGTGTTCAAGGCTCCATCAGCGGACCGACACTTTGGAATTTACTGGTGGACCCCCTGCTAAAAGAGCTAGAACATCAAAATGTATACGTACAAGCCTTCGCTGACGACATTGTGCTGGTCTTCATAAATGATACCGCGCTGGAAACGGAAAAAAGTGCCAACCAAGCACTAACACATGTCCAAAGGTGGGGACAGCGCAACAAACTAAAGTTCGCACCACACAAAACAAAGTCTATGGTGATAACAAATCGGACTAAATACGATGTCCCGAGACTCACCATGGCTGGTGTGGACATCGAAACTTCTAAAAGTATAAAGATACTGGGCCTAACAATAGACAACAAAATGACTTTTGGCGAACATACAGCAGTGGTGGCAAAAAAGGCAATAAACATTTACAAGCAGTTAGCCAAAACAGCAAAAGTGAGCTGGGGCTTAAATCCGGACATAATCCGAACAGCGATTTATACAGCGGTGGTTGAACCAGTAATCCTATACGCAGCAAGCGCTTGGTCCCCATCCGTTAGTAAACTGTACATAAAGAAAAGGTTGGACTCAGTCCAACGAGGTTTTGCGGCAAAAATATGTAAAGCCCATAAAACCGCGTCGCTTAATTCAGTTAGAGTGCTCGCCGGGCTGCTACCCCTCGACCTAAGAGTTGTAGAGGAGGCAACACTTTTTAAAATTAAAAAAGGACACGACACCTTGGAAGTGCTGAAAGATGTGGAGATAGAACTAAAAACGCCCTACCAAAACACTCCACACCCTGCAAAAATCCCCCAAATTAGTTATCGAGTTTTAGCAAATGAAGAGGTGAATAATGAAGACAAAATACACGTCTACACAGATGGCAGTAAAACAAGCGAGGGCGTGGGTTGGTTGAGGGCGGCGGTGACATTCTGGAGAAACGATCGTGAGATCCTAAAACATAAATTAACCCTGGCCGGCTTTTGCAGTGTTTACCAGGCCGAATTATTGGCCTTGAAAAAAGCAGTGCACTTGGCGGTGCGGCGAAAGGAGGTCGGCTTTAATATATTTAGTGATGCAAGGTCAGCGCTTGACGCTATAACAAGTAGCCGCTCTCTCAGTCCCCTCGTCACCGATATTCGTGAAGTGCTCGGAAAACACCCGGAAAAGGAAATAAAACTTTTCTGGGTGAAAGCCCACGCAGGTAGGGAGGGAAACGAGAGAGCGGACGAGCTAGCCAAAGAAGCAACAAAAAACCACAAAAACAAGCCGTCCTACGATCGCTGCCCGCTGTCGCACCTAAAGCGCCTCATAAGAGCGGAAACGCTGCAAAAGTGGGCCACAAGGTACAAAAACGAACAAACAGGGAAAATAACAAAAATGTTCTTCCCGGATGCCATCGCTGCATACAAAATAATCAGAAATATAACATTTAACAGTACACTGTCTCAGATACTCACAGGACACGGGGGATTTTCTGCCTACTTATATAGGTTTAAATTAAAAGAAAGCCCGACGTGCATATGTGGATACGCAGAGGAAGACGTTCCACACATCCTATTCGACTGTCCCGTCCACCTCTACGTAAGAATGAAACTTGAAAACCAGATAGATGTAGACAAAATAGGCAAATGTAATATAGCATCGGAATTAGCGAAAAAAGATAATAGAAAAACGATACTTCAATATTGTATAGAAATAGGAACCTTAGTAAATAATAGAAATAAGTAAAAAAATTGCAAAATATGTATTGTAAAATGTAATCAAAATTTAAATGTAATTTGAATTGAATAACCAAATAAAGGAACAACTAACAAAGTATCAGCTATTCCACGGCCCGGAGTTGCCCAACGTCCGGGGGTAGGCTATTAGGAAAAAAAAAAAAAAAAAAACCTAACCTAACCTAACCTAACCTAACCTAACCTAACCTAACCGGGCTCGATTAGTGGCCCCACCTTCTGGAACATCTTGCTCGACCCACTACTGGTCGAACTAGAAGAGGATGGGACATATGCACAAGCTTTCGCAGACGATGTTGTGCTGATGTTCAGCGGAATGGACACGCACTCCATCGAAAACCGAGCAAACGTTGCCCTCGAGTATGTGAGGAAGTGGGGTATCGAGAACAAGCTCAACTTCGCGCCACAAAAAACCAAAGCGATGGTCCTGACGCGAAGGTTGAAGTTCGATACCCCAAGAATAAGAATGAATGGACAGGAAATAGCATTAGAAAAGGAAATTAAATTACTGGGGTTGACTATAGATGAAGGGCTAACGTTTAACAAGCATGTGCAAAATGTCACAAGAAAAGCGGCGGATATTCATAAAAAAGTAGCTAGAATGGCGAAGCTGGAATGGGGAATGACGGGAGACATGGTACACCAGGTATACCAAGCCGTCATAGAGCCGATAGTTACGTACGCGTCGGCAGCCTGGGCACCGACAGTAAAGAAACTGTGCACGAAGAAAAAACTGGAGACGGTGCAGAGGGCTTTTGCACAGAAAATAGCAAAGACCTACAGGACAGCATCGCTAAATTCCGCGACGCTATTGGCGGGGATACTGCCCCTAGACCTCAGGATGGAAGAAGCCGCCGCGATGTTTGAGGCCAGAAGGGGGTCGTCTCCGTTCATACGCGAAGGAGACCGGATTGAGCGAGCCGTACCTGCTTTAGAACAACCCCATCCCGCGGAAAAACCGGAAATAAGCTTCGCCATCACAACTGACCCTGGCCTAATACAAAATGACGACACAACAGCTATCTACACAGACGGTAGTAAGACGGAGAAAGGAGTAGGGGCAGCATGGACGAAATGGGAAGGAGGAAGAGAGCGAAAATGGAAAAAGATAAAGATGGCCCCTTACTGCACCGTATATCAAGCAGAGCTGGCGGCTCTCGTCGGTGCAGTGAGGGAGGCGATGATAGCGGGTACTGACGTGAACATCTGCAGCGACTCGCGGTCTTCGCTCGAGGCGATTGCGGGCGGACGCTCTCGAAACCCCCGAGTCGTCGAGATCCGCAGACACCTGGTGGAGAGCCTTAAAAAGGGCCAGAATATTAAGCTCCACTGGGTGAAAGCGCACGTCGGCACGGAGGGGAATGAGAGGGCGGACGGCGAAAGTCAAAGCAGCTCACGTAGAGTACCCGCTCTCATACATCAGGAAAGAAGTGAGAAGAAAAACTATAGAAGAATGGGATCGAAGATATAAGGAAGGGATAACAGGGGAATAACCAAATTGTTCCTGCCAAATATTACAAGGGCACATAAACAAATCCGAGAGAAAAGATTCAGTCCCGGGATGGCACAGGTCCTCACAGGCCATGGGCCCTTTGCCGAGTACCTGTGCCGTTTCAGGCTGGAACAATCCATCCCACACCTACTTTTGGAGTGCCCCATTTTTGCCTCCTCCAGATGCGACCTGGAACAGATGACAGGCATGTCGCTTAGTCTTCAGGGACTGCCCGACATGCTAGTCTGTAACAGATCGCACCTGGAGGATTTTTGCCAAAAAATTACCAAAAGAACAGCTAAGTTCAATGAGAGTAAGGCCGGGGCGGGGATCGCGAGGCGGCCGGCGCCCACTTGCCAATGAGTATTATAAGAATACTCACGGAAAAGTAAAAGCCGCCCGCGTCGCGGGCCCCGTCTCTGGATAGGAATGTGTTGAAAATAATTAATGTAAGGATATAGATATAAGTAGGTAAATAAAAGAATGACTGTGATAGAAATGTAAAGATAAATAGATAGAGTAAAGAAAAAGATAAAAATAGGATAATAAAAAATGTAACTGAAACTGTGATACTGATATGTGTAAACCCTAATAAAAAATAAAGCTGTGTGTCAATTATTTTGAGGAAGGATGATAGAAATGATGGAAGGTTAGCTTAGACAACGACCCTGTGCGATAAAGTAGCCGGGGAAGGTAGGCCTATTAGGTGCAAAAAAAAAAAAAAGGGTGCGTGTACTTATGTACGCGCGTAAGAAGTTATACTTCTTTGGCATTATTAAAAATAGTTTTTGATTGCATGCAAATAATTAATTACAATTAAATAATCAAAGACTGGAAAAGGAGTCATTAAAGTCAATAAAGTTCAGTTTACATTTGAAAAATTAATTAAATAAATATTTATTATTATTCTCTTACATTAAACAAATAAAACACTATTTATCTTTAAAACATTTTTATTTCATTATACTATTTATTTTTAAGTGACTCTAATGTCTTCATCAGAATTTCGGTTTGTAATTTTAAATTAATCATTACTTGGTTGTGCATCTACGAGGCTTCTCCAAAACTACTTGCTTTCTGCAACAAATAAGAGAATATTAATTTAAGCTCTGTCCATGCAAAACTTAAAAATTTTTATAATTCATATTATAAATTTTTTAACACATTTATATTAATATAATTATATAAATGTGTTAATAATATAATTTGTAGCACATGCTACAGACCTGGATAGCAACTTTCTTTTATTCTATTTAGAGATAGAGATAATTTAAATATAATACCGGTGTCTTCCTTGTAGGTTTCTTTGGAGTTGTTTGGGGATTCTTGTTGTTCAGTTCGACATGATTTTCTTTAACCTTTCTTTAATCCTACAAAATAATGAAATTGTTAAGTTATGTTGTCACTGTTGTGCACACCTTTGTTTGGCTTTTTTAGTATTCAAGTTATGTCAAAACTGATTTATTAACTTGTCATTGTTGGCTTTATTTGCTTTTGGGATATCAATTGTTTCCAAAATGATTTTATTTGTAATAACCTGAAATATATAAATAACATCTATTAATTTAAGTATCATGGTGAGTGGTTCGCACTCAGGTATTAAGGTGTATTATACCCACTGTCCATTATAAGTGGGAATGGGCTCACTTCTGGCAGGACAGAGTTTCGGTACTACAAGTGCAACATGGATGTTTTGAGGTATTACAATATCTCTAAATACCCTGTAGGGGAATAAAGTAATGTTGTAAGCATATGCCTATGCTTGAAAGGTTGAACCTTGAACATCACCATACATCATATTTATAATTAACATTCCTACCTCGACACCATCACAATCAAATTCATTGAAATCTACTTCAAACCATTGTGTCTCGAGAAGGTGATGGTGGCTTTGTTCCACCTCCAGTTTTTGATGTTTCACGGCGATAAGATGACAACTCTTTTTTGTATTCAATTTAGTGCACTTCCACTGATTCATCAATTGTTTTTTGTCTCTTGTCCTTATATTTGCTAGATTAAATCTGATGTTTTGATTAAATAATGTGGTCATTTTTTTGAGATGCAGGTACTTATTAAAATGTTTACTTCTCTGTTATATCGCTCCAAGCCTTCATTTTCTCCTTATTAGTATTCGTGCTTAAATCTTTGTTCTCAATTATTGATATATAGGGTCGTAGAATATTTCTAAAAAGTTGCTGTAACAAACGCAATAAACAAAAGCAATGAATAATGGTTCATGTTTCAGTTTTAATCAACAATAATACTCGATAATACATACGGATAGTTAACCTCAATTGTATTGAAGCACTCAGGAAGGTTAGCACAGTTTTTTCACAAATATTTTATATTATTTCACAAATATTTTGTATAATGAAAATAACTAGGTATATAATTATTAATTTTAAACAATAATTAAAACTCCTATATTTGTTTAAAAGGTAAATGTCATTGTCAGATGTCAATTGTCATGGTCATTCAAAATTCTTGTTAAGCTGCTAAGCTAGAATATGCGTGAAGTTAGCTTCACGCATATTCTATTTCTTTTTACTTGTAGTTTGTCTTATTCCCATCTCGCTCGCGCACGCTATATCACACTGCCAATTTTGTGTCATAGGTGCGCGCGCAATCGTAAAATTTCACTCTCATCAATTTTTCATAACGCGCCTAAAGAAGTACAACTTCAAAAAAAAAAACCTAACCTAACCTAACCTAACCTTTGCTGCCCATTCCCATAATGTCTGAGAAAAGTGATATATTAAAGGAAATATCTGACCTTACAAAAAAGCGTAGCAGTTACAAAGGGCAAGTTACGACATTTATTGGATATTTAAGTTCATTTGAATCGAGTTCGCCGCCAGAACAACGCGATTTCGGTGAGTTAGAATTGCGTGTGGGGAGACTGGATTCCTTGTATGCCAAGTTTGACGACGTTCAGACACGGTTGGAGTGTATTTGTGATGATGTCACATACGTCTTGGAGGAGCGCGAGGAATTCGAAAAAAGATATTTTAAAACGTTGAGTCAAGCTCAAAAATTATCTCAAATTATAGAAAGTCTTTAATTCTTCTTCCCTCTGAAGCTGAGACTTGCAATGTTTCTAACAGTGGTAAAATTAATCCTGTTAAATTGCCCACCATTCAAATCCCAAAATTTAACGGTTTACTTAACGAGTGGATCGGTTTTAGGGATACGTTTATGAGCCTAATTCACACCAACGACGACCTAGACGATATTAACAAATTCCATTATTTGAAGTCGTCTCTAGAGGGCAGCGCTGCTTTGGTAGTATCTTCCGTTGAGCTCTCAGGAAAGAATTATAGCGTAGCTTGGACATTACTGTGTGACAGATTCGATAATAAAAACTTATTAATCCAACATCATGTTGCTGCACTATTTAAAATTGAACCTGTCACACGGGAGACAGCATGTAATTTAAAGGGTATCGTTGACCAATTAAATAAAAATCTAAGGGCCTTAGATACATTGGGCGAATCCACTAAACATTGGGATACTTTATTGGTTACCTAATAACTCAAAAGTTAGACACAAAATCATTCCGAGAATGGGAGGAATATAAAGGCCGGCTAACCACCGACACACGTATTGAACTTTTACACTTATTAGATTTCTTACGTGTTCGCATTACTTTATTAGATTCAGTTGAACACAACACAAATTCAAAAATTAAACCCAGTCACAAAATTATGACGGTACAGACTAATAAGCCCATCGTTAATAAAAATCATTTGGTATGTCCTAAATGTAAAGGCGAGCATAAACTAAATAACTGTTCTGATTTTTTATCTTTATCAAACGAAGATCGTTGTCAATTATTGCCTTCATTAAAAGTTTGCTTTAATTGTTTTCCAATAATTGCAAGAAACCAGGTTGCACGATATGTAAAAGAAAACATTCGGTATTAATTCACATTCCAGATAAGACGAAGCCGGTAGTACGTGGTGAGCGTGCCGACAGCGCCACCAGTGATCACAATGTGTTAACTTTAACGTCGAGTGTGTCTGCCGAGGGAGGCGTTGCATGCGCCCGGGCTGACGTCATGCATGCCTCATGTCTGAAAAAATATTTAGACAACTAAATTTGCCCTATGTTCCAATTAATCAAACCGTTCAAGGTATTAATTGTGCGATCACGCATATTAATAGAAGATGTAGGTTAACGTTAAAATCTTTAGATGAGTCTTACACATGTGATGTTTACTGTTTTGTTTTACCATCCTTGACGGACGATGTGCCAAATCGTGCAATTAATATTTCTAGTTTAAACATTCCATCTAATATTTGCCTGGCTGATCCACATTTTTGTAAACTTGCGGCAATCGATTTAATTTTAGGCGCTGATGTTTTTTGGAACATTTTAGGATCGCAAAGGATTAGTTTAGGTTGCAATAAACCTATACTTTGTGAATCTAGGTTAGGTTGGCTAGTTTCCGGTCCAATTTGTGATACGGTTTTATTTTCAACTTGTCCACCTAATCGTATTCAGTGCAATTTTTTTAGTAAACATTTAATTGATGATGATATTAATTCTAATCGTCAAATTCAAAGTCAGCTAGCTCGATTTTGGAATTTAGAAGAAGTAAATTTTTCTTCTAGTTATTCACTTAAACAAAAATCATGTGAAGATCATTTTGTTAAAAACACTACTCGTTTAGCGGACGGACGTTTCTGCGTAAGAATCCCATTAAAAGAAGACCCGAGTTGTTTGGGTGATTCATTTCAGCGAGCGAAACGGTGTTTTCTCTCTTTAGAACAGAGACTTAGTAAAAATCCTAAACTTTACGAAATGTATCGTGAGTTTATGATTGAATACCAGTCGTTAGGTCATATGACTGAGTGTGACATTAATTTAAATAAAAATTGTCAGTATATTCCTCATCATGGCGTACTACGCGAAAGTAGTACGACCACTAAATTAAGAGCCGTTTTTAACGCTAGTGCGCCTACGTCAAATAATTTAAGCCTTAACAATATTCAGATGGTAGGTCCAACGGTTCAGGACGATCTTGTGTCCATTCTTCTGAGGTTTAGACAACACAAGTACGTGATTTTAGCCGACGTTGAAAAGATGTATCGCCAAATTATCGTTCACATTAACGATAGGTACTTGCAAACTATCCTTTGGCGTGATAATCCGTCACAACCATTAAGAGCATTTCATTTAAATACAGTCACTTATGGCACCGCGAGTGCGCCATTTCTTGCAACCAGGTGCCTTAAGCAATTAGGACTCGAGTGTAAGGACCCCCAAATCGCTGATATTATATTACATGATTTTTATGTCGACGATTTGTTGAGTGGTGGGGATAATTTACATGTAGTTCGTGATATTCGTGATAAGATTACGACTACCCTTGCCTCTGCTCACTTACCACTAAGGAAGTGGAAATCTAATGAGCCTCAGTTAGTTTTAGAGTCCAACGAGTCCACGCATGATTTAAATGTAGGCGGTAATGAGCCGAGTAAAACCTTAGGCTTAGGATGGTTACCGGATTCAGATAAGTTATATTTTATATTTATAGAAAGCAAGTACGAAACGGGAGTTGCTGTCTATAACTTCCCAAGTATTTGACCCACTTGGCTTGCTCTCTGTTATAGTTATTAAATTTAAAATTATTTTACAAAGTTTATGGTTAAAAAATATTTCATGGGATGATCCTTTACCTTCGGATATTCAAGTTGCTTGGCTAAATGCCATTAAAAATATAAACATTTTAAATAATTTACGTTTATCACGACGCGTATTAATTGATTCATATGAGCGATTAGAAATACACATATTTTCCGACGCATCGGAAAAGGCTTACGGTGCGTGTGTGTATGTTCGTAGCACTGACAGTAACGGCAATATTTCAGTTCAGTTATTATACGCTAAATGCAGAGTGGCGCCCATTAAACCTATAACAATCCCTCGTCTTGAATTGTGTGGTGCTCAAGTAGCTGCAAAACTTTATAAAAAAGTTTGCGAATCATTGCGAGTAAAAATTGCTAAAACTATTTTTTAAACAGACTCGTCTATCGTGGTTGGTTGGTTGAATATGCTTCCTAGTAAATTGAATTAATTTGTACGCAATAGAGTAGGTGATATTTTAGAAAATACCGGTAGCTGCGAATGGCGTCATGTCTCGTCCGAGCATAACCCGGCGGATTTATTATCACGTGGAGTTTGTGTCGAAGATATTCAATCGCTTGATATGTGGTGGTCAGGGCCACCGTTTTTAAAATTGCCCGAGAAAAAATGGCCCATTACTGCCCTGCGATTCTGTAACTCACTTTTCCCCCCCCCCCCGCGGGTTGTGGCGCCGGGCGTCCCCCCCCCCTTTTTTTTTTTTTTTTTTTTTTTTTTTTTGGCATTCTGAAAAGGTTGTTATTGTTAGAAATATTGCCTGAATTACGTAATCAAAATTGCGCATTTGTTTTATGTGATATGCCTACATTCATCAACTTTGAACGGTTTTCGAACTTTATTAGATTGCGTCGATGTGTTGCCTATGTATTGAGATTTATAAGAGCTTGTAAAGGACATCGAGGAGAAACTAATTTTCTTACAGAAACTGAATTAAATGAGTCCCTAAATACTATAGTTCGAGTAGTCCAAAAGGAATCATTTTCTGAGTATAACATTTTAGAACAAAAGAAAAATTTGCCTTCAAAAAGTTCATTATTAAAATTTAATATTTTTCTTGATGAAAACAGTTTATTGAGAGTTGGCGGTCGTATTAATAACTCAGAATTTTCGTATAATAAAAAACACCCTTTGTTATTACAGTCCACTCATCGTTTTACACTATTATTATTTCAATATGAACATGTTAGGCTTATGCACGCTGGACCGCAGCTACTGTTAGCATCAGTTAGAGAAGTCTACTGGCCAATCGGTGGTCGCAACCTGGCTAAATCTGTATACAGAAGGTGTGTTTTATGCACACGTATAAAAGGTCGGATAAATGCTCCTCTCATGGGTGATCTACCTAAAAATCGTCTTATTCCTTGCGGACATCCATTTGAGACTGTAGGAGTGGACTATGCGGGTCCTATCGCATCCATTAGTCGTCAAGGTCGTGGTTGTCGTATCGTCAAGGTTTATATCGTCGTTTTTGTTTGTTTTACCACTAAAGCCTTGCACTTGGAATTGGTGGGTGATTTATCAAGTAATAATTTTATTTCTACACTTCGACGGTTTATTGCTCGCCGCGGTAAGCCACAACACATTTACTCTGATAATGGTACGACGTTTGTAGGAGCTTACAACGAAATAGCCAGTTTTCTCAAGCAAAATTCTAACTCACTTGCTAATGATTTAATAAATGAAGGAATTAATTTCCACTTTATACCTGAGTATTCGCCACATTTCGGAGGAATATGGGAGTCGGCAGTCAAATCTACTAAATATCATTTAGTTAGAGTATTAGGTAATAGTAAATTGACGTTCGAAGAGTTGTATACAACTTTAACTCAAATAGAGGCTATATTGAACTCTCGGCCACTTACCCCCCTATCATCAACACCAGAAGATTTGACCCCACTGACTCCAGGGCATTTTTTAATTGGTCGACCTTTCACGGCAATTCCAACATCTGATTTACGGAAAGAAAAGGAATGTCAATTAAATCGATTTAAAAGAACAGAACAACTTCGTCAGCACTTTTGGGAGCGATGGAGTAAAGAATACATTTCAGAATTACAAAAACGCACGAAATGGTTAACATCAAAGCAATCCTTGGCTCTTAACACGATGGTAGTGATAAAGGAGGATAATCAACCTCCTCTCAAATGGAAGTTGGGCCGCATTGTAGCGCTACACCCTGGTCCAGATGGAATTGTTCGCGTCGCTGACGTCCTAACTTCGAATGGAGTGATCCGGAGATCCTTTTCCCGTATTTGCCCTTTACCAGTTGAACAAGATGGTTGACAGCAGAGCTCTCAACGCGTGGGGGCATGTTTACGCGCATTCCGGTTTCGTGGATTGTGTGGGAGGGAGAGGGCCGACCCTTCCTCCGTTCCTCTGGTATTGTTCGTTTTAGATCGCCGTATAGGCATGTCA